AAATTTTTAATAACTACATGATTAGAAGCTTTTCACTACAGCTTTAACATATTCGGTAACATACTCCAGCGCAACAGTACATCTCTTCAACAAGTGGGTGCAAGTTTCTAGGTTCACAGTTGAATTAATATAGTTATATATTATTGAACTCAGTATAAGCCCCAGCATTTTTGCTTTTGAATCAGCATCTCAATTTGCTTAGTTTGACCTTGAACTTTTGGACTCGTGTGATCCTTTTCCCTGGGTCTTCTGGGTAGCTGGGTATACAGGCATGTGCCATCATGTGTAGCCCCAGCTATTGTATATTTAAAGGTTGAATTTATTTAGTTCCATTTCTCTTCTTTTGGGTGTTAAAAATAAATCTGCTCTAATTGGAAGTTTCTTGATGTGGTGAACCTCTGATCAGAAGGGTGCATGAACAAAGGAGCAAGCACAGTGTGCTAGGATGGCCTTTCCTTTTTATACCCAGCACAAAAGAGGGCTTGACTGTCCCTCTTCAATTGAGGTTCAGCTACAATCTAAACCCAATTGGCTAATTCAAAGGGGAAAGCGGGCACCTTGGTAAGAATCTTTAAAATTTAGGGTCATGGGTTCCAGAACATAGCCAAAGTCATAAAAATAGAGTGTGAGGGCCCTGGCTTGTGGCCAGAGTCATAAAAGTAAGGAGGGGGAAGAGGGTTGTGGATGAGAAAGCACATTATAATGCTACAAATTAAGTTGACATGTTAAGAAATAACATTATCAAGGTTGAAAAGTAAACAAGCACATAGTTTCATAATGTTTTGACAGCATTTCACCTTTTACGTTTTCACTTATTCATTGGTGCAAATGATAAGCAAAAGGTAGCTATTAAGAGTAGGGAATTAACTTGAATATACTTTGATCTTACACAAATGTTAGCCTCTTAATTTACATTGTAAAGGTAAAATTCCCTTTGAAAGAAAAGACGTTACATTTTGTTTATATTTCTCACTTGGGTTGTTGATACAGACTCTTATACTGTAGCCTAGGCTGGCCTGAAACTCACTATGTAGCACTGGCCAGACTGACACTCATGACAGTCCCTCCATCTCAGCCTCCCAAATGTTGGGATTATAGGCATGAGCCACCACACCCTGCGAGTCCTTTTTTCTTTCCTGCTGTTCTTAGTAACTATGTCTTTTCCACTACCTATTAGCCCAGTTTTCTCTTCCTTCCTTCCTTCCTTCCTTCCTTCCTTCCTTCCTTCCTCTTTCTTTCTTTCTTTATTTCTTTCTTTCTTTCTTTCTTTCTTTCTTTCTTCTTTCTCTCTTTCTTTTGCTGGTATTGTTATACTAAAGACATCAGTATACACAGTAGATGCCACTTAGGAAAGATCATTTAGAAAACAATTCTTGGACCAGCAAAAGTGTATGTTCCTTGAGTAAGTTAGATATAAGAAAAAGTGTATGTAGCATAGTCAGACTTCCTTGAAGTCTGTTTTGTGGACTATCTACATGAGTGTCAGTTGATGCTTTTCTAAAATGTAAGAAATGAAATCTTTTCTGTCAGAAACATCTTGAGCTATAAGCTTGTCTTTCTCTTCAGTCCCTTGTTATAGGACTAATACATACCTTGATGTGTTTTCTTAAAATGCTAATTGTGACTTGCCTTCATTTCCTGTCTCCCTTTTCTAAGTCTCATGGTTAAATTGTGGAAAACTTTTGCTCCCTTAACATAATATATCTTTTTTTCTTACCCACAGACTGCCTTCTTCCTTTTGTGGCTTAGACTCTGGCTACCTGCCAAAGTCCCGCACTCCCAAATATAAAAAGATTTTTACTAAAGTGTCTCCTTCCTCTTTTACAGTTAGCCACTTGGGTTTAGATTGTGCAGTTAAACCAATGAGGAACAGCCAAGCTCTCTTACATGTCAGGGATAAAAGAGGAAGGCCATCTTAACAAGGTGTGCTTGCTCATTCCTTTGTTCTTATAAGACTTGCACCCTTTGGATCAGAAGGGAAGTTTGCCTTGCTGGGATGTTTTCATTTGGTGTGATCATCTCCTTCTTTGTGACCCTGAATTTATTTCTAACAAAAATGTATACCCTTGATCCTTTCTATAGTCACACTAAATTAGCATATCTAATGATAGAGCCTGGAAATCTGTGTTTTATGAAATGCCTTGTGATATACTAAAAATCTGTATTTAATGAAACCTTATGAATACTAACATATGAGGTATACCTGTTTAAATTCTTACTAGAGAATAAAACCAGCTTCTACTTCTGAAAGGTCAGAGGAAAGCTAACCCATAAAGGTATTTTACTTTCTACGTTGTTAATGATGAAAATATAGTCAACTTTTTGTTTTGAGTTCCAGTTCTTTTGTATTGTGTATTCTTGTTATAAACTATGATTATTTCTTTAATATTCTTCACCATCAAAATATGAAGAATTTACTAAAGCAGTAGGTTTCTGAATATGCTATACTTGTCACTTGACACCTAACATATTTTACTTGTAGGTATTAGGAGAATATTCCTACCTCTTAGATAAAGAAACGCCAGAGGAAGTTATAACTAGGCTCTACAAGTTGCTTATGAATGACTCCAGTTCTTCAGAAACGAAAGCCTGGTTAATTGCTGCAGTGACTAAGTTGGCACCCCAAGCACATTCTTCTAATATAGTTGAGAAATTAATTCAAGAATTTACCGTATCCTTGGATACTTGTCTGAGACAGCATGCGTTTGAATTAAAACATTTGAATGAGAATGTAGATCTCATGAAGAGCTTGCTTCAAGTTGATAAGAGTTGTGAAGATGTGGTGGTAAGACATATATATATATCTGTGTTGCAGCTTTTGAAAATTGTCTTCTCTAAGCATTGAGTAATTATTGCATTTGCGATATATAAAGATTATATAAAAATATAGTTTCTGTAGCACATAAGATGAACTTTAAATTTTTTCTCACATTAGTAAGAGGGAATGTGAGGTGTGTGTGTGTGTGTGTGTGTGTGTGTGTGTGTGTGTGTGTGTGCATGTGGGGGCCAGAGGTTGATGTCAGGTATCTTTATCAGTCATTTTCTATTCCACTTTTTTCCTTTTTTGAGACAGGGTCTCACTATGTAACCTGACTGGTCTGGAACTTACTATGTAGACCAGGCTGGCCTCAAACTCAGAGCTCCCATCTGCCTCTGCCTCCAGAGTGCTGGGATTAAAGGTGTGTACCACCATACCCAGCTTCAACTATATTTTTCAGACAATGTCTCTCACTGAATTTGGAGCTCACCAGTTAGATAGAGCAGCTGGTCAGTGAGTTTTGAGGATCCACATGTCTCCATCTACTCAATATTAGGATTATGGGTGGGTCTGCTTTTTTTTTTTTTTTACAGGGGTTCTGGGTATCTGAACTCAGTTCCTTATGCTTGTGTTGCAAACACTTTATTAATTGAGCCATCTCCCCAGCCTATTTTTTATTTTTGTAGCAATAGAGCCTGGTACATATTAGGCAAATGCTCTATCACTAAGCTATATATCCAGCCCCAACAGAATGACTTCTAGATGTAAGGCCTATCTTGAGTATGTCGGGGCTTTCTAGCATTAGATGAGCTTAACTCAGGAGTTAGGGTGCTAGAAACTCATGGTCACACAAAACTAACAGTCAGTGGCTTCCTGGTTCTTGTCTCTGGAATTTGAAGAATGAAATTCACAGACTACAGAAGGATGAGTCTCAAAAATAATTTTTATTATAATTTTATAGATGTGAGCTTAAGGGAAAGAAGGCAGGTCCCAGGAAATGGATTGCCATTGAGGATCACTGTTAGGGGTTAATAAGGCTTTACTGGTTTGAGGCATGGGGTTTGTCCCACCCACTAGGTAGTTTGAGTGCTCAGTTTTGGCCACACCCTCACAGGCATTTGTAAAAAGAGAAGATAAAAAGAAAGAATGAATCCTTTAAGTCCTTAATGCATTTCTGGCCTTGGTCAGGACTACTCTGCCTATGGTACCAAGGGCATTTTGGCTTAAACTCTTCAGGCATTTCTTGCCTCAAGCCAGGCCGAATGCAAGAATCAGAACTGCTTGGTTTTCCAGCCCTGTCCTAAAACTGCTAGTTTCTATCTCCTGTTCTCATCAGACTTTTAATATATAACAACTCAGGAATTTCCTGTATTTTTATCTGTTTTGAAATTATCCAAATCGTTTTCCTTATATTCTATTTTCTTTAAGAGTGCAAAAAAATTCAGTTTCATTTTGTCTGTTCAGTGTCTAAATTTTTTAGCTTTGGCATTTGATTACCCACATTTACTTCTTTCATCTATTTTCAGTTATTTCCTGCTTTTTATACGTATTTTGTTAGGTTGGTATACATTACGAAACTTCCAGAGGAAAACCACTTTTGTTTAGAAGTTTATGTATCATGTAGTTGATTTAATTTTTTGAAATTATGTGTATATGTGCATGTCTATGTGTGGGTTTGTCCTGTGGAAGCCAGAAGAGGCTGTCGGATCCCCTAGAACTGAATTAACAGAGGCCTGTGAGCTGGGTGCTGGGAACCCAACTCAGGTCATCTGTAAGGGCGGTATGTATTCTTAACCTGGAAGTCCTCTCTCTAGCCCTTCCTACTAATTTTGTTCATTCAGAACATCTGTTCACTAGTTCTTTCAGTAGCTTTTAAAAAGAGAGGCCTTTTATGAGGCTTTCTCATAAATCTTACTTTTTAAAAAAGGATTATTTTAAAAGGAGGTTTTTGTTTACTTATTTTTAGTTTATATGTATAAGTGCTTTGCTTGCATGTATATGTGTGCACCCATGTCACGCAATGCCAGAAAAGGGCATTGGATCCTATGGAACTGGAGTTATGGGTAGTTGTTAACTACCCTATGAGTGCTGGGAATTGAACCTGGGTCCTCTGGAAGAGCAGCCAGTTTTCTTAACCATTGAGCCATTGCTCCAGCCTCCTAAAAGATTATTTTTTTATTCCGGTGTGTGTCTGCGTATGTTTGTGTGTGTACACATGCTACATGTATATGGATGCCCAAGGAGACCAGAGGAAGGTGTCAGATCCCTTGGAGTTGGAGTTGCAGGTGGTTGTGAGCCCCCAATGTGGGTGTGAGAACTGAACTTGGGTCCTCTGGAAGAGCAGCAAGTGCTCTTAACTGCTGAGCCATCTTTCTAGCCCCTCTCACCTTTCTTTTGTCTTTTCCTTTTCTCTTCTTGGGTTCTTCGTCTTTTCACTTAGTAATCCTCTTCTAATCCTGATACAATTAAATAATTGTTCTTAGATTTGTTTAAAAACATTTTTAGACAGAAAAGAATAAGCTAAAGATATTGTGGAAGACTGAACAAAGGCCCTCCAAAAATGTCTGTCTTAATCCTTGGAGACTATGTATATGTTACCTTAAGTATTGAAATGTAGATGTGTTGAAGACTATCATTGGGAAATTTGATTTAGGTTTTCTAGATAGTCATGATAAAATCATAAGGACCAGGGAGAAGGCAGATTAGTAATAGAAGCAAATATTGTAATGATGTGGCTACAGGCTACAGATGTCTCTAGAAGCTGAAAGAGCAGGAATGGCGCTCTCCTACAGCACCCAGAAGGCACCACTTTGCCAGAACCTTGATGTTAGTCTCCAGCATCAGAAAACTAATGGTCATGCTAACTTGTAGTATGTCTATGTCTTCTGGTAAGTTACATATTTGTCTCACTTGTAGCCCCCGATATGATGCCTTAAAGTATTAGGTTCTCAAAAATAATAATCTCAAATAATTTATGTTGATTCTTAGTTGGATGATCTGATTAAAGATGTTTCAGAAAGCTATAGTTGGATGACATTTTTAGGTTTGAAGCATCTAGTTTTTACTTACAAATATAAAGGATGCATGGGTTAAAATTATGTGAATGTATAAATCTAGTCTTCAGAGTAAACTTATGTTTATTTCCTGATTTTTGTTTAACTTTAATACAGGCAGATGCCTCTTTATCTTTTCTGGATGGTTTTGTGGCTGAGGGACTCAGTCAGGGGGCAGCACCTTATAAGCCTCATCACCAGCGTCAAGAGGAAAAGCTTTCCCAGGAAAAAGGTACATTTTCATGGGTTTATAAGAAAATAGATAATAGGGATATAACTTTTTAGTTCTAGTTTTTTGTTGTTAGTGAGACAGGGTCTCACTGTCTAGCCCAGACTGGCAAAACCTTGGGATGCTTTAGCTTCAGGTTCTTAAAATACAGAGATTACAGGTATGCGCCAACATACCAGCCTTGGGGCATAATTTTTTTTTAATGCAACTGATAGTATAGTCATTAAAATAAGTGATTGAGCCCTCATTTAGTCTGCTTTTGTTTTGTTTACCCTCACTAGCTTTTCAGATATTCACAAAAGAATTTAACCTCAAAGTGTTCTCAAAGCCATAGGCATCATATGCATAACTGCCTATGATAGGATTACCACCCTAGAATTTTGAAAGCATCTGAATTTGTGCTGGTCACTGTGCTGTATCTGTGGATAAAACAACCCTGATTACTATGGACTACTTATGTTTTCACTGTGAACAATCTAATGTTTCAATATATGAGAATATTTCTCCAACAAAATATGAAGTTAGGAAGAGCTAAGAAAGAAAGGAACTTTATACTTTAAGAAATATAGTCTGTAAGGAAAAAAAGACAGAAAAGAAAGAAACAGCCTATAAGAAAAACGAGAGAGAAAGAAAAGGAAGGAAGGGAGGAAGGAAGGAAGGAAGGAAGGAAGGAAGGAAGGAAGGAAGGTAGGAAGGTAAGGGAGAGTCTTTTATCATGACTTCAGAGGAAATCACTGGGTCATTTGGATGGTGCATGAGAAGTGTGCCTGTGAGAAAGGGAAAGCAGTGTTCAGGGTTTCAGAACATAGGTAATGAAATACGCTTTTTTTCTTTTCATCATTCAAATGACTTTTTATTTTATTTTATTTTTTGGTCTTTTTGAGACAGGGTCTCCCTGTAGCCCCAGCTGTCCTGGAACTCACTATATAGACCAGGCTGGCCTTAAACTCACAGAGATCCACCTGCCTCTGCCTCCTGAGTGCTGGGATTAAAGGCGTGCGCCACCACACCCAGCCAAATGACTTTATTGAGTACCTATTTTCTATGTTGTGTGCCAGGCACATTTAGAAACACTTGGTCCTAACGTGAATACTAATAACAAGCTTAATGTTACCTTTTTTAAAAAAGTTATTTAATAACCACATACTTAGAAGAAGCATTTCATTACAACAGCATTGACATATTCAATAACAATTTTCTGAGCTAAGATGCATCTCTTTCAAAATTGGCTGTGAATTTTTAGGTTTACAGTTGAATTATTACAGTTATACAATGTTGTACTCAGTATAAACCCTATAAGTCATAAAATTAAATGAGGTTTTAACCTTTAAAAAAGATC